GTCAGAGGTAAAACGAAGCGATCGTGCGGTCAGACACAGCCGCGCTGAGCTGTCACACCACCCTGTGTGGGGGTTAAAAACTGTCCCCAAAGCTGTACGTTTTTCTTACCTGCAGGTTTCCTCTTACAAGACCCGATCTTTGCAAAAAATGGGAAGCTGCTGTGAAAAGGAAAAACTTCAAGCCAACCAAGTACAGCAGCATTTGCTCAGAGCACTTCACTCCCGATTGCTTTAAAAGGGAATGCAACAACAAGCTTCTGAAGGAAAACGCTGTGCCCACGATATTCTGTTACACGGAACCCAGCGAGAAGGTAAACCCACAGCACCGCTTGAGATGCCGGAGCGTACAGGCATATGTTGCCTGTATTAGCCCAGGCTGGCTTGATGCAGCAGAGCAGCCGGGAGGAGATGCAGATCGTAAAGGATACGGGCTGGGCACGTACGTGCACCTGAAGGCACTTGCAGGGCTGTGGTGGTGCTAAACACGTCCAACAGCTGTTCTCATTCGCTTTTCGGTGAGCAGAGAGAGTGAAGGTGTAGGCTGTCTGAGGCTCTGGAGCACATGGAGCATTGTACAGATGTACAGTAGCTCTGATCAGCTCTTGTGTGCATATGTGGAAGCCTGAGCAGCACAACTTTGGTTAAAACCTTGTGCTGAATTAAGTGGCGTGGCAGCAAAGTAAGGAAGTATTGCCCTGTAGTTAAGTTGTTCAGCTGTGTTAGTGGTGTGTTTGGAGTTTGAGAGCCTTCAATACTTGCAAATTGCGCTCTGCTCTTCCATATGAGCTGGTGGCTACTGCTAACGTTGAAGAGAGGATGGACATTAGTTCTGAAACTTAACTGTCCTCTCTGAAGGGCTCTGTCCACTGGCTTTGCAGAGTTAAAAGAGAGATGCAAACAGAGGGACACAACAGTAGCTGTACCTGCTATCTGCCTGTGCTGAAACCATGTCTGTCTTGCCCTCAGACTGGTCCCTAGCATCTGTCTCTGAACTTCTGATGGTAGCCTCCTGTCAGATGTATTGCTCCCTTCACTGTGCTGCTCAGGCAGCTTGCCTTGAGATGTGAGTCAGTTATGAGTTCTTCCTTCTTGATGTAATGACTGCAAGACAAGAATGGAAAAAAAATGCTTCTTAACTCCTATAAAGGATATATTAAATCTCTTGCTGCTCTGCTGTAGAGGAAGTGGCAAAGGAGAGAATGGATATGGTAGGTCTAAGGGGGAAAGACTGTAATGGGACAGAGTGCACAGAGGAAAACTGGGACTTGTGCTCGTGTGACTTTTCTCTTTTTATACAATATTCGATTTGATGCAGAAATAAAAAGGGAATGTACTTGAAAAATGGAAAGTGGATAATAACAGAGAAGAGAATATAAGCAGAAGGTATGTAAGGAAGGATAGACAATTTCCAGGTAAATATGGCTTTGCTAAGTCTTTTTGTTTGATTATACTTCCCTGCTGTCTGTACGACACGTATGTTCTTTGTCACATATAAAATAGTTGCAGTTTTTTTACAAGTCTGGAAGCTGAATGGGTGTATGGGGTAATCTGCGAAAGTGCCTTTGGTGCCACGGGATTAGTGGTGAGGCACATTCCCCATTTCGTTATCATGCCTGGATCAACAAAAACACAAAAGAGTGAAAGAGTGCCTTTTAATTATGGAGAAGGATTTAGTGGTATTTCTGTTTGTCTCACGGCACTTTAAAATGAACTGCCACGTATCTTCAAGAAATAACATAGTAACAAAGAAGAATAGTAGTGGTTGTTTTGGAAGCAAATCCTCACTGCTTTTGAAATGCAAGTTTTTATCTTTTGCATTGTGTAATTTGAAATTTTTTTTTTCTTTACTTATATGTTAGGAGAATAATTTATTGACTGTTAGAAGTAATTAGAATTCACTTATGATGTGTCAGCGATAGCCATGGTCTGTTCTCCGTGGTACATTGTGACAATAGTAACATATTTATAGAGGTAGCTTGTGCTGGATGAGCTGCAAATGGAAGTCCCTGGATGGATTCAGCTGTTTGGCAATGATCTGATTTTTGCATGTATTTCCAACAAGGGTGAATTCCCCTTTATCAATTACATCTTTGTCTTGTATTTTTTTTTTTTTTTTTTTTATTTTTTTTTTTTTTTTTTTTTTTTTAGTACAAAAGTTTTAAAGTGATAGCTGATAGCATCAGACTCTTTAGAATATTCACCTGTGAATTAGACAAGCACACTGTTAGCAGTGATCTCTTACAATTGAGAAATAAGAGTGGTAGCTGGCTGGGTTTATATTTTAAAGTGATCGATAATACCTGAGTGCTTATGAAACTTCCCTTCAACACCAATCACAAAACTGCTTTCTCAGTTACTGTCTGCCAAGTAGCTTGTACAAGAGGAATGTCTATACCCCCCCCCAGTATCAAGTACTGGCTTGTTTGCATGTTAAGTCGAGGAAGTTAATGACCTTCAGATCTGGTGAGCCAGATACTTAGATGGTGAGGATTGACAGCTGCTCTTATAGTCAATGCTGTCCCTGTCCTTACACTTTTATATGTAGTAACAATATTGGCAACAGGTGGGTAGTTAGAAAATTGGTTCAGTGCCTCTTTCACTGAGAATGTCTTGGGCTTTCTTTTTGACAGGCGCTGAGCGAGCTCTTTTGTTTGAACAAGTGCTTTTTTTGTTGTCATGTGCACAGAAACATTTCTGAATTGTACTGCGTTCCTTTGGGGTGGAAAGAATCTGATTCTCCTCTCTGCCCTCTACTCACGTGGGGTGGGCTCTGTGTTTTCCTGAACTGTACAAGTGAACCTATCAAGAGCAGTGTGATAAAGACTGCAGCTTCGTGTGGAATTGAGCCAATCGATATTCTGCTGCTGCTACCAAAAGGGAGAATCATGCATCTCCCTTCTCCATCCCATCTGGCAGCCATGCAGTGCTGTTTCTCACTCCTTCCACACTCCAGTGCTGATGTACCTCCTGTTGCATTGCTTTGACTTTTAATAAAGGACAGAAAATTTCTGCAGTGATGGCAGGAGATGACTTTCCGTCATCTTAGCAAATTACTATGTTTGAGCAAAGAGTAAATACCAGGTCTGGGAGGGCTGCTTTGGCTCCTCATGTCTTTTGAAACCAAACCCTTATACTGCAGTTCGAAATCAGTGACACAGTGCCTTCCAGTTGATGAGAAGCAGACCTTGCTGTGTCTGCCTCTCCACTCTGTCAGCTTATCAGCCCCCCTCAGCGGATGATCCTTATTCTGCCTCAGCAGAAGATGATCTGCTTCTGCTGTGTTTTTGATTAAGTTAGCTGATAGGTTCAAAGTATGTAATGGTAAGATACAGCAGAAAGGAGGACGGACAAAAGGGAATGGGATGGCACTTACAAGTTATTAGGTCCATTTATTGAACTGCAGCCTGTGTTCTTGCTTCTTAGCTAGTCATGGATATGTGTTTCACCTAAGTCTTCAACTGAGAGTAATTTGCTGCATTCTTCAGTTTTTTATTTATTTGAGACATCAAGGACTTGGGTTTCAAAGAGCCCTGAAAACAAAACTGCTTAAAAATATCTCCAGTTTATAAGCTAAACAAAACGGGCCCAGAACTGTTTATATTTTGAAAATGTAGGCTTTGAAATTTATTAATTTCAGTCCTGGTTGTTTATGTTATTTTGGGGCTGTAGTAAGGGAGTTGTGTTGTAAATAATGTTAAGCATGAAAACGTACTTTTTTTTCTTGTTGATTCTAGCCTGAAGAGTTTGCGGAACAGCCAGAAGATCCTCCTCCACCTCCTCCACCACCTCCGCCACCACCACCACCTCCACCACCGCCGCCACCGCCAGCAGCTCCAGTACTGCCACCGTCTCCATCAACTCCTTCTTTTCACTTATCTCAAATAGATGCCAGGTTTGTAGATCCAAGTATTGGATTATTGATGCCTCCTCTCCAGACCCCTAGCAATCTTGCGGTTTTTTGTGATCACAACTATACCGTAGAGGATACAGTTCACCAGCGAAAAAGAATTCAGCAGCTGGAGGAACAAGTTGAAAAACTGCGGAAGAAGCTCAAGACAGCGCAACAGCGATGCCGGCGTCAGGAAAGACAAATTGAAAAACTGAGAGAGATCGTTCAGTTTCAGAAAGAAAAAGACATATTGGCAGGAAAAGGCTATGTGATTCTGCCCAATGACTACTTTGAAGTTGTAGAAGTACCTGCCTAGAAGTCATGAACATCAGCTTTCATTTTGCTAGGCCAAGAAATTTAGTTTAAAAACTAAATGCTCTCTAATTCTGTGTGTAAGACTCTCCAGAATTCTAAAACAGTAAATAAGCGGTCATACAAATGAGATCACATTTTTGTCCATTGTTGTTTCAGTTTGATACGCTTTTCATATACTGAAAATGCAGACATCTCAGAACTAGAATATGCATTTAGTTTACAAAATCTCAGTTGCTTTACAGAAGGAAAGGGTGCAAGGTTGAATACATTTAAAATATGTTAATTTGTTGGTTTTTGTTTTGTTGTTGGTTTGTTGTTTGTTTTTTTTTTTTACAACAGCTGTCTTGTGCTTACAGGGGATGGGGAATGGCATCTAGCTGCGAGTGGAGTTGAGGTTGTTGTACATGTAGTGCAAAGCTTTGTCAAGGCATTTAGTGTCAGCTTTGGTGACCCCCAGGAAGTAGTGTTCAGTGATACCAGAAGGAGCAGAATTAGGCCAGCTAAGAACACCTGCAAGTGCTGCAGAAAGGTAGAGAAATACAAGATACACATTTCAGCCGGGGAAAACTTCCAACCTCAGTTTGCTGTGCCTTCAAAGCACTGCAAAAAGTCTAATTCCTGGATCCCTTTGGTAAGGTACGTAAATCAACCTCTTCTTTTGGAGTAACCTTTCACCGCATGTGTGTTGTGAGGGAGATGAGGAGAATCCATTAGCATAGCTGATGAGAATTGTAAAAGAGGCTTTTGTTTTGAGGGCACTTAATAATACTCCTGAAGTGCGGTGCTACACTGAACATACGTTATTGGACTGTTGGCAGGATGAAGAAGGCAGTGTACTGTCTGTTTAAGGTGGCTGCTTTTCAAAAGTACTTTGATAATATACAGTCCCCAATATGTTGGAGTGTGACGTTCTCATAAACACTGTAACAGGTAGAATGTTGTCCTTCTCTTTGAAATTGTTGGTTGTAACTCACATCTCAACCATGTGTAGCTTCAGAAAATGAAGAACTCAGGATTTTTTTTTTTTTTTTTTTTTTACTTATCCAGGGTGTTGGGCATTTGTCACTTTTGTTGCAATACACTGTGATTTTGTTTCTTTCTGTTTCCTTTTTTTGTTGTTGTTGTTTGGGGGTTTTTTTTGTTTGTTCTGTTTTGGGTTTTGGGTTTTTTTGGTTCCCCAAAAGGCATCCACCAAAGAGCAGTTATGGAATTGGAGTTTGGGAGTTGCTTGGTGCTAGACTGGTTTTTAATATCTCAAATGCTGCCTCTCCTTCAGCCTTACTGAAACTCTTTCTAAAAATGAATTTAGTGTGAAAAGTAGCGCAGCAATTTGCACTTAATGTCTAACAATTTGTTTAGTCAATGAACTAATTAAAAATCAGAGAAAATGCCATTGTGCTAACCCTATTGTAGCCTTCACATATTAAGTTCCTGGATATGTTAGGATATATTCCTGGAGATATAAGGAAGATTACTTCTCAGTCCATGTCAAACTTGTGTGTAGTGTGGATTATGGCTCTGATATTAACCAAGCCCTCTCCATGATGGCTTTAAAAGCTTCCCTTAATGTCCTGTTAGCATGACATTTTGAAATGTTTCAAACCAGTCTTGATACTTCTGACCTCCCTCATGCCAGGTATCTACTTCCCCTACCATAAGATACTTAAGATGAACAAAAATGCTGATGCATCCTTTTGTGTACACTTATTATACCTAATTAAAATAAAAAAGCAAATGGTGTGTTAGATTTTTAACTGCTCTCTCTCCTCTTTTCACAGGACTTTGCCAAAACTAGCTTGACATTTTGTATCATATCTTTTTTTTGTGAAGTAGTTTCCTGGTTTAGATGCTGGGTTTTTCTCACAGTGTTATGCTTTATACTTAAACTTGAAAATGCTCAAATTCAAAAAGTGACAAGGAAAAGACATTTAAACAACTGTTGCTATGCTGTTGGCATGTGTGGCCAGATAGCAGATTGTTTCTGTTTTCTCTGCTAAATACCCTCCCTTCTTACTCTCCGGGAATTTAAAGCGTGACTTCCCGAGGCATGGTGGGTTGCTGCAATACCACTCCCCTGCGGCTGGGGTGCTTCTGCCCATCCCCCTCTTCCCCCTGCCATTTGGCAGTGTGCTCCCATTACCACCCTTCTTATTTGTGCCCGTTCTGGTGCTTGTCTGTGGGACAGTTCAGTTTAATAAAGCAGCAGGTTTGGCTTATAGTGCAGAGGCAGAGGAAGACCAGCTCTGTCAGATCTGATATGAGAAAAAGGTAGGGCCAGGAGCTGAGATGGGGAGAAAAAGTCCTCTCCTCCAGCTGCAATGAACTGTTGCACCATGTCAGCTGCTTCTGCAAATGTAAAGCTAACTTCATGCCCTTATTGTTCTGTACTGTTTCCTTCCACCCTGGCCAAAGATCCTTGCTCCACCGGATGCTCTGGCTGCTGTGCTTGTTGGGCCCTTCCTTCAGGTATTTTAGCTTCATAACCCTCCAGAAAAGCAGCGCAACTAAAGTAAGTCAACGCAACAAGTTTAAGGCCTGCTGATAGATGGCTGCCATATAGAGTTCTTGTGTGTTTAAGCTTTTCATGTTGGTGAAGTTGGTTTAATGGCTGACTCAAGTAAATGTTCCTTCTGTTCAGAGGGATGGTGCCTGCTTGTCTTGAGGGTTTCAGTAGTACCAGGCTGAAGAGGGGACTACTGTCCAGTTGCTGACACTTCCTTTCCTATTATCAAAGGATTTTTCTAAGAAGAGATAAAGTCTGTTCTGACAATGGGCTTGACTTTCCCCTGAAGCAGCTTTTATTTTATTTTATTTTTAATTTTATAAAAACCTCGCTGGTTCCTGAAGCAGTGATGTTAGGGTGAGATGTGGACTCTGCTAGGCATATGAGGGCCATCAGTATCACAGAGCTCTGAAGTGGGGAGAAAAAAGGCTGGGATGGTATCACAGAATGTTGGGGACTGGAAGGGACCTTGAAAGATCATCTAGTCCAATCCCCCTGCCAGAGCAGGAACCTAAATGACATCACACAGGAAGGCATCCAGGCGGGTCTTGAATGTCTCCAGAGAAGGCGACTCCACAACCTCCCTGGGCAGCCTGTTCCAGTGCTCTGTCACCCTCACTGTAAAGAACTTGCTTCTCAAGTTTAAGTGGAACCTCCTGTGTTCCAGCTTATAACCACTGCCCCACGTCCTACCATTGGTTGTCACCGAGAAGAGCCTGGCTCCATCCTCATGACACTCACCTTTTATATATTTATAAACATTAATGAGGTCACCTCTCAGTCTCCTCCAAGCTAAGGAGACCCAGCTCCCTCAGCCTTTCCTCAGAAGGGAGATGCTCCACTCCCTTAATTATCTTGGTGGCTCTGTGCTGGACTCTCTCAAGCAGTTCCCTGTCCTTCTTGAACTGTGGGGCCCAGAACTGGACGCAATATTCCAGATGTGTCCGCACCAGGGCAGAGTAAAGAGGCAGGAGAACCTCTCTTCACCTTCTAACCACACCCCTTCTAATGCACCCCAGGATGCCATTGGCCTTCCTGGCCACAAGGGCACAGTGCTGGCTCATGGTCATCCTGCTGTCCACCAGGACTCCCAGATCCCTTTCCCCTACACTGCTCTCTAATAGATCATTCCCCAGCCTATACTGGAACCTGGGGTTGTTCCTGCACAGATGCAACATCCTACACTTGCCCTTATTATATTTAATTAAATTTTTCCCTGCCCAATGGAAACAACAGATTGACTCTCTGTGCACTGTGCCCTACCCCCCACTATGGTGCAATCTTTCTGATTGATAGTGATACAGAAAGAGAAGATAGAGACTATCTGCTATGGGCCAAGCTAGGAATGGAATTCTATTTTTTGTGTAAAAATAATAAGCACAATATGTTCCCCAAGAATTTGTTAAAATTTCCTCTTTTTTTGAAGTGGGATCTGTTACATTCACATGATCAGCTGCAAAAAAGGCCTGCATCACTTACTGTTTGTATTGGCCAGAACTTGTACCTGTACATAGCAGTGATTTTGTAAACATCTCTGAAAAAAGTGATTGGGAGTTAAAAGCAGAGGTGGGAGTGTAGAATGGCATGTGGTTGTCCAATTGTGCATGAAGTAGCTGACGTTTGTTTAAAAGCATGTAACTGGACTTCACTAAAGCCTATTTAATAAAGCAAACAATTAAAGGAAGTTAGAAAGTAGCAAAATTGGCAAAAATGCTCCATCCTTAAAATCTGGACAGAGATTTGTTTTGAAATGGGCTGGTGGTTCAACAGGCAGAACCGAGAGCTGCTTCTAAAAAGAGAAGTGTTGGCTTACTTCCCCCTGCTCCTCCAGTTTCTCTTTTGCCATGGTAGGGTATCTGACCTGTGTATACTATTCCCTTCTTTTCTTGTTATACCTTTGCAAGGTATTAGATTTCCCTAACTGGGACAGTTCAAGCCCAGAGGTATGTTTTATGGGGAAAAAGCGAATAGCTAAATACTTAGATTACCGCTTATCACACTGAGGGAGTACTTTGTCACTGCCCTCTTTTCTCCTCTGCTTCCAATTGCCATCTTGTCTATGTTGTTGCTAGCGTGGTCTTAACAACTGTGTCAGCAGATTAATGGAACTGAGATTGCCAAGAAATCTCGTGTCTTGCTAAGATTTCTTCTTCCTTCCACTCTACATAGGGTTTAGAGTACAGGTTCCCTGTGAATTTTGAAGGAGCTATCTTGCAGCTGAAGAAAATGCAAAGCAAATCCCAGTTTGAATGTAGGAAGAAGGAAAGCATAATAGTTGCTTCGGTAAAACTAAAACCACAACAGTTTCTGAGTCAATTTCAAAACACTACTTCTATTCAATGCTTCTCTGGAAACAGGCGGTTACTTTTAGATGCCCTTTTGCTTGCTTTCTTTCCTGAGATCAGTTTTAGTTTTAGTCTATAGGCTTATCTATTTCCTGTCAGCTTACACCTTCATCAGGTGGTTTTGGTCGGGTGGAATGGGGTGTTTTGAGCTATTGTCTAATTTTAGCAACCAAAATACAATCTGCCAAAGCATGTTGATACTCATAGTCTGTCATGACTGCAACTTCAGATCCGTAACTCCTGCTGTTTTAAGCACAGCAGATTATTTGCCATACTTTAGCCATGATAATGGCTTATTAATAAATGAGAGCAAAACAGGATATATTATTAAAAAATATGATGACAGCAATTGTTATTACAGATTTCTCCTTGTGCCTGTTCAATACTTTCAATGGAAATTT